ATTCATCACATTTAGGAATGGTGATCTAGTATCTCTGATGTTCAATTTCTTTTTCTGTATAATGAAAGTGATACTTTTTTGCGGTTTTGGAGATTGAACTGTGGGCCTTGCCTTAAGCTACATTCTCAGCCCTACCTATCTATCTATTATTTTGAGACAGGCCCTCATTAAATTGCCCAGGCTGGTCTTGAACTTGACTGCCTCAGCCCCCCCAATAGCTGAGACTATAGGCATGTATCACCAAGCCTAGTGAATGCCAGCTTTTTGAAGAGGTTACTGTGATAGGTAACTGTGTCAACTTGAATAAGAGACGGCCAACTAAATTGAATCAGCACAGTTCTGGGTGTGGCTGAGGGGATTTACTGAAGGCAGAAGATCGCCCTTAGGGTGGCTTGTCACCTGCATGGTATAAAGGGCAAACAAAGAAGAAAAGCTGTTTCTGTTTCTTCAGAGGAGCTTGTCTTTACCTTCCCCTTGGATGTCATCTGGCTTCCTTAGGCCTCCTGATATGGACTCTCATGGAACACTACAGTGGGCTCCAGGCCTTCCACTGGATCCTTTGGCTCTCCAGCGACAGACAGCCCTTTGCACTCTTCCACACCTGACTCTGTGGGCAGCCACTGTAAGCCAATCTTGGAATTCTGTGTATTTGTGTATCTTGCATTAAATCTGTTTTTCCAGTAGGCACTAACTGATACAGTTGCATATACATATGATTCAACCTAAGAAGATTCTAGGAAAAAAGGAAAGAGTGCCAACTACTTGGACATCATTTTCAGGAGTTGATTTTCATTTGAAAAGTGACTATGTGGGAAGAGCTCTCTGCAGAGATCAGGGGACTGAGCTCCTGCGTGATACTCTGGCCTGCTGAATCAGCAGCACTCGGATGTAAATGCTAATGTGTTTTTAGTCCTAAAAGAACACTGATCCTTGAGATAGCTGGTTTCCACACATAGCAAGACTTGGCATAGGAGTACAAGCCTAATAGATGGCTTTAAGATACTTCTCTACACAATTCTATCCACACCTTGAGATTGGCCAATGGATGTCACAGAGCTTTGAGGATGAGGTCACACGATTTCCTCTGTTAAAAGCAACATTAACTGAGATGAAGCACTTGACTTTTCTAAGGGTAGAATAATTTCCTGACTCATATATGCCCTCACTTCATTCCATCAAGAAGCTGAAATGGCTCAGCAAAATAAACTGCCACAAGTTATTTAAAAAAACAAAATATTTTTTGAGACAAGGTTTCACTGTATATTCCAGCTGGCCTTGAACTCATTCTATAGCCTAGGCCGGCTTTGAACTCCTGGCAATCCTTCTTCCTCAGCCTCCTGAGTGCTGGGATTATAGGCGTGGACTACCACAAGTGACTCCCAAATTAGCTTTATACCGTCAAGGCATTATTAATCCCCTGTAACTCATATTATCTACATTTTTTGAAATCAATAATTTTTTTAAAGCATTCAATATAACTGCTTTTGTGCCACTCTTAATTTTTTTAGCAAACACATCTAAATGACAAAAAAGAAACTTATTTCAGCTTCATGTGACAGGAATCATACTATTCGTTTCAAATGGGATAAAAATGTTCATAAATTTAGTAACCAACTAACCAAAACATTATAGTAGGAAGAAAAACAAATTGTTAAAGAGAGCCTCTGATCCTTCTTTTATAAGGGAATTTGGACCTGGTCTTCATTTTTATAGTCATACCAGAGTAACAACACTAATACTCAGTGATCAGTCATGCTGGCCAGCATTCTGACGCTCTACTTGAACTATCAAAGCACCAAAGATAAGTATGCCCACTTGCATTGTAAGAATTCAGCTTTAAGAGGGGTTTTATAAATGCTGGCTTAGGAGCATTTGCACTTATGAAGCCCCATAAGGATTTCATGGGCCTCAAAGGCAGCAAAGCTCCACCATTTGCACCAGTGTACAGATTCCAGGTGTCACTTATGTTCTTGGGAGTCTTTGTTGTTTACTAGTTTTTAATGCTACCATCCTAATGTCTACAATGGCAGTCTACTGGGTGAATGCAATGTTTGAATGGTTTTCATTGACCTTTTTCCATTGGTTTTTTTGTTTGTTTGGCCTTAAAAGTTGAACTACACCAACACTGAGTAGCCTATATATCCTGTTCATTAGCGATTGTCTTGTGTAACTGCCTAACAGCTATAAAAGCTTAGAGAAAGCAAGTAAATAGCCACATTAGGTGTGGCTATGAAGAAAAAAAAAAACCTGGTTAGGATGTATTGTGATAGTTAACGATGACTATGAAAGTAACCTTCGTCATTTTAATGAGATTGAATATTGTTTTAGAGAAATGTCAATCTTGAGGCTTGGTTTGTAGCAACACGTTTTTTGCCTATAAAATTAATGGTAACTGTACTTTCAGGTGAGGCAAAGCCAACCTATGAAATTTTTTTCAGAAAAGAATTATTCTTTTTAAAATGGGAGGAGATTGTGACTCATTTAATAATCACAACCATATTAGAGGTGACTAGTATTTCTTCTCCAAAATTTATTTAGTATTTATGTTCAGGTACTGTCTGTATCTTAACAAAACTATTCCTTTCAACAACTCTGAGTGGACACTATTGCCAATCTTCTTTAATAGTGAGGAAACTGAGACACAGACAGATTAAGTTGGTTGGCCAATCTTAAATTAAGAATCAGTCTGTTTTACAGAATAAAAATTCATAAATGTCTATGTATATGTGTAACAGCATCTGCCTATCAATGACTGTGAAGCCCTTCACAGTTTCTCAATTGATTCTTTCAATAATCTTGTAAAGCAGCTGTCATTCCCCTAATTTTACAGACAGGTACATACAGAGAAATCTTACTCAACACCAGGTGGCCAGTAGAGGTGAGATTTGCCCTAATGTAGCTAAGTCAGAACTGATGCCTCTGACGAGGTGAGGGATCAGAATAGCAGAATGGCAGATGGGGACAGGGGTGGCATCCTTGGTCTGTTTTTTTTGTTTGTTTTTTTGTACCAGGGATCGAACTCGGGACTTTGCGCTTGCAAGGCAGGCGCCGGAACCACTGAGCTAAATCCCCCTTGGTCTGTCTTAACAAGGGATGCATAGGTCTGAAGCAAAAGCAAAGCCACAAATACTTCACTATATTATATTGTCTCCAGTATGGCAAATAACAGTAATAAAGGAGAAAAATACTTCAGAAATGGGTCTCTATATCACAGCTAATGGTACAGCAACAGCATAAGGAGGGCAAGGGGGGCTTCTAATGATTTTTACTACATATATAACATTTAAAAGTAGTACAAACTTTTAGATGGTAGCTCAAACTGAGAAGACATGCATAGCTAAACTGAGAGCTTACAAAGGCCCCTTCTTCTACCTCCTCTAGGAGGGGACATATGCTCTGCTGCTGCTTACCCTGTACTATAAATGACAGGAGGTCTGTCTTTCCCTATAATGCCTTCCTATGGGAAATTATGAAATGCTTCCTCTGGAAGTTTCTAAACAGCAGTTTTTCATCTGATAGGCTGCTTTAACAGAGGTCCTTTCTGAAATAGGGAGAATCAACTGGATAACCTTCCAGTTTCTCCTAACCCTTCATACTTAATATAGGTCTGCCAATCCCACAACTCTGTCAAAAAGGTAAAGGAATGTTTGTTAAAACAACACTGACGAAATCTGATTCCAGATAGGAACTGGAAAGTAAGAAACCCTAAAAGCCAACATGCTATGTAAAATATTCTGAAGGGTTCAGAAAGAGTGTATGTGAAACTCATGAGAGGACATTATATGCAACAGAGAAATTTTATGATTAGAAACCACTTATTCAAATGCACATAGTTACAACTACCATCAAATGGTCCAAGACTTATTCAAAGAATTAACTCTTCTAATTAACTAGAAAAGTGCTTTAAAGACAATCATAAAATATCACAAGAGCATGCTGGTAGTAACAAGATCACAGGCCAAAATCTGAATTATATATAAGGTCTGTGCAGCTTTCGGAAGCCTTAACGTTAAACGTAATCATGGTAATGCGCAGCATTTGAGTGTTCCCTTTATATCATCAGGATGGTAAATGATTTCCTGGGTCACCTCATTCCTTTCTCACAAACTCTCAAGTTACATGCCAAATTCCATTTACCAGGTAGGAGACAGAAACCTAGAAACTTGCCCAAGCCTATAGAGGTTTAAGTTTAAACCCAGAGTCCAGCTCCAGCAACCAATCTCTTCCTCAATACAACAAAACATGTTATTTACCATCCAGAAAAAAGTACAAGTCTGAAATGCTAATGGAGAGTGACACGGACAAGGAAGAAGAGATGCAAATGCTTTATAATCTTCAAACTGAATAACCCTAAATCATTCTTACCTCACAGGATGTCTCGGCAGTTCACTCAAGCTCTTGGGGGTTACGGGCCTACATGTGTGGAGGCTTTTCCTTGTTCCCTTTTGGTTTTCTGCCTGTCATGGGGTAATGGCCTGCACATTCAGCCCAGCAGACTTGAAAACTGTACACACATCATTCCAATGTTCCGGGTATTTTTGGTTCTAGTGTACCTGGCCATTTCAGAAATAATTAAATTGGTACATTAAATGCCAACTGTGATTTTCAGCTCTTAGAAACCCATTTTGTATTGTTCCAGCCTCAAGTAAGACTTAAAAAATGTAGTCATGCTTGCTTACGTTTTCCCTGGAAACTCAGGGAAGAAAGAATCAAACCAAGCATTTTATGGCACATGATGTTTTCTCTCATCCTTTCTCTGCTCCTGACTGATGAGAAGAAATGGTCCTATAGGCCACTATGCGAGAATGTAAGAACAAAAGAAATGGAAGTCAGCAACACAAAACAGGTTCCTCACAAACACTGCACCTGCCTAACCTTGCCACCCATACCCAACTGCCATAAAGTCTGTAAGCATGGCTCACAAGCCAAGGTCCTTTCGCAGAATTGTAACATAAACACACAAGTAAATTTTGTGATACTAAAACATTTGTGAAACAATATATAAAACAGTTGTGTAGGACAAATTTTATTAGTCTCTGCTTTTAAAAGCTTTCCATAACAAGTCTGCTGCTCGTCCAGGGGACAGAGCCCCACTGAGAACCTTTTTTTCCAGAAGTGGGATCTGTCCTCGGACGGTGGGGTGGCTCTTGAAGTGCCCTAACACATTTTCCTGAATGAGATTCCACATCCAAACTTTCTGCTGCTTTCGTCGCTTGGCGGTCAGCTCCCCGCTGCCAAGCATTAGGTCCCGGAATTCTTTCATTTTATCCCACATTTCAGTGATCCCCTCTCCAGTTCTGGCAGATATACGAATCACCTATTGAAAGGGAAGAACAAAAATGACTACACTGAAAATGACAGAAATCATTTTCCTGAGGACTCTGCTATTTGCCATTAATTCTTACAGAGTATAGAAATAGACAAGAGACAAAAGTGAGATTTTACTGCTGTGTCAAAGTACATACACTGACATATATATATACTGAGGTGATAGCTCAGATTACTAAGTGCACAGCAGAAATAAGACATGGATTCCTGATCAAAGTCTCTAGCTTAGTGATTTATTTCAATTTAAGATTCCTCATAGATGGTCAGAAGAATCCTGGAGGACTGATGAGTCATAGGCTGAGAAAGGCAATTCCAGGTAGTTTCCCTGAGGCCTAAGTGCCAGAAAATGAAGTTAAGTTGAGAGAATAGCTCCATTCCCTCTGTCAAATTGGCCTGATTCAGCAACTAGTAGGAGCTAAGCACCAAGAACCTGCATGTATAAGATAGCTCCAGACTCAACACACAGGCAGTGTGCCTGGGGAAAATGGAAGTAGACAGTAAGATAAGCCACCATTGTTCTCATTATAATGACCACAGCTGATTGTTTCATAGCATAGTGTCCACCTTCAGACCAAGCTCCTCTCTCTCTCACTGAAAACAGCATCCAACAAGCATAATAAGAATAGAAGTATCAAATCACAAGCCATTTCTCATACCCAAATTCCAAAATAGATAATCAAATCATTAATTGGCCCATAATCTTTAAGGATGATTCCCTTTCAGGATGGATTTATTATCACTTCCAAATGCCTCAAATCAAGTATTAAGCAATCTAATCCATCACCTCATATTCTAGTTCTTGACATCCAGTGGTTGAAAGATTATATTTAAAATCATGACTACGCAGTCTGGCTTTGTCATATTTTTAAAACTGTAATTTTCACATGCAAGCAAAGATTGATTATATGTCTAGCTTGGGACTTACGTCCTCTCTCTTAATGTCCACAATCCACTCAGGGTGACAAATGGAGAAGGGAATGCAAACTAACCTTTGGTCTCCAGACTTCTGAGCGCTTGCGAAGTAATTTCAGTGCACTCACATACTCTGCTTGTATCCTTCGAGCTGGCACAATCAGGTCTCCATCAGACTTAGTTATAGCTACCAGATCTGCCATCTCAATTATACCCCTTTTGATACCCTGGAGAAAAGAAAGGAAAGAATGAGATTTACCAGAAACATTTCATTTAATCACAACTGGCATAAAAATGGGACACTCAGTTAATGCTACAATTTGGAAGGCCATACAGTTCATTAACTTTTTTCTGTATCTTCCTAAGCCTGGGGTGCTACAAATCACAATTATTTAACAGAAATTACTAAAATGCACTGGCTCTTGGGATTATGGAAGCCATCTGTAACATCTCTATCAAATTTAGAGATTCACATGGTGAATATATTCAGAATTAGAGTAAACAGATCATCAAGACACAACATGACTGAGTGGCAGGAGACAGTTCATCTTGTCTCAGGATGAATTCTGCTTTTCATGAGCTAGACTGAAGAATACATCCATCCATCAGTAGGATGCATTTATCACTGCCATCTGCATTTCCAGAAACAAAGTCTTCCCAAGTTTCCTTAAATGTATATAAAACCTTTTTCAATATGTACTTAAGAAAAACAGCCTGATAGCTAAAAATGTTACAATTTTTTTAACTTATATTACACTGAAAATGCCAATGATAAAGGATAAAATCTAAGGGCAGAATCTTATTTTGGAACTGTGTTTTTCTACTTAAGATTAGAATTTTTTTCAAATATTTTAGATATTACCTTCAATTATTAAATTCTAATAAGTGTTTCTAAATCACAGCATCCATAATCTGCTATCACAATTTTTTAGAATTATCAAGCTAAAAGGGAAATTTTGTAGAATAACTTGTCTTATCTTTGAAGTTTCTGGGAGGGAACCTTGGAATTTCTTGAACGCTAAGAGCATCTCCCTTATCCATGGTGGGTGCCTGGGACTGCACCCAAGTTCATGCATTGTGATCTCTCAGAATTGGGGCAGAGCACACCAGAAACACCTGCCATGTGACAGAGGCTGGAGGACTGTGCTAGGTGAAGCCAGCCAGACCACTGTGCAGGGAGGGGAGCCAGAGACTGAGTTCACTTCTCTGGCCAGTGATGTGACCAATCATACCTACATAATGCAAGTCCAACAAAAACTAAGGCCCACACCAGTCCGGGGGAGCTTCCCGGTTGGTGACACATCAATGCCCCTGCAGGGAAATGTGTCCTGAGGAAGACACAGAAGCTTTGTGTTTGGGACCCTCCTAGACCTCTCCTTAAGTGTCTCTTCACTGGGCTGCTCCCGATTTGTAGCCTTTATCATAAAAGTGCAATTGTAATAGAGCGCCTTCCTAAGTTTTATGAGTTACTCTATTGACTGATTGAATCTCAAGGGCAACAAGAACCTTCAGATTTGTAGCCAGCTGGTCAAAGGCATGGATGGCCTGGGAATTCTGGAGTTGGCAGCAGTGTCTGAAGTGAGGAGAAGCTTATAGAAGGCTACATCCTCCACCTGAGAACTCTGCATTAAGTTAATGCCAGAACTGTGTTGCTGGAGGACAGTAAGAATCCTGTTGTACAATATATAAACTATGATGGTGGGATCCTGGGTAAAAACAGTGATGTAAGAAGTCTGCACGATAAGCACCTGTGTAACAGTGGCTTTTGGCCTGACCTATCCATTTATTCTATTCGCTTGAATGGAAAAATTTACGTTACATGCTGAAAGTCATACTTATTACTATAAGTTAGCAAAAATGCATATAAAGAACCTACTTTTTTTTGGTAAGGAGGATTGAACTTGTGGTTGTAAGCCAGGCACAGTGCCACTAAGCTAAATCCCTGGGCCTAAAGAACCTACTTTAGACACAGATATTTTAGCCAATGCGAATGATGTTTCTGTACACTATGTTTTACTTAATTTATGAAAACACAACACTAGAAATTTGTACCTTTTGTATTGGGGGGAGGGTGAGGGAGGAATAAAAAATTACCTGTAACTCATCTCCTCCTGCTGGAGGCAGTAGTAAAACAAACATGTCAACCATGTCAGCAACAGCAAACTCTGATTGGCCCACACCTGAAATTTCAAATCACAACTATACTCTAAATTATTCACAGTTATTACACATCCTCAACTTCACTGACTGTCATGTCCGTTCTACTTCATCCACTCATACTCATGGACACATACCCATTTGAACACCCTATGGCTTGGCCCATTTTTTATTGCTATAACAAAATACCTGAAACCAGGCAATTTATAAAGTGTATTCTGCCCACAGTTCTGGAGGGTGGAAGTCATGAGCATGGCACCAGCCTCCACTCAGCATCTGGTGAGGGTCTTCTTGCTCCATCAAAACATGGCAGGTGCAGGGATGAAATCAAGCATGCATGGCAACCTCAGTCCCACTTCCTCTTAAAAAGCCACTGATAAGCTTGGTGCGGTGGTGCACTCCTGAAATCCCAGAATTTGGGAGGCTGAGCCAGGAGGATTCTTGTGAGTTCAAGGCCAGCCTGGGTTACCTAGTAAGTTCAAGGCCAGCCTGAACTACATAGTGAGACCTTGTCTCAAAAAAAAAAAAAAGCCCCTCATGTCATCACCAGGGTCCCATTTTCATTACCTCATCTAATCCGAATTACCTCACAAAGGCCCCATTTCTAAATATTATTAACAAAGGAATTCAGTGATTAATATTCCGACACATGAACGTCTGGGAGACACATTTAAACCAAGCTCCTCAAATGTCTTCAGGTAGCTTCCTTTCCTGTTTGTCACAGTAGCCATTACAAACACTTCCCATGATCTCCCCACTTGGTGATGACTACAAAAGCAGTGGCACCTACTTCACAGAGGAAATAAAGGAAGTGCTTCTCCACCTTCTCCCTGTCGGCCTGGTATCTGCCAACGGATACTGATACAAACTCGGCCTTGCTGCCTATCCTACTGTCTTGGTGAAGGTTACAAAAGGTGAAAATTTTACTCCTTCCTCTTCCCCTGGGTGCTTGCTCTTCTTTGTCTTTAACTCCTCCTTTATCTCTAGGCTCTCATCCTTCAGCAAACTATATCAACTGTCCAAGTCTTTCTCATCCTAAAGCCAACCAGGTAACACCTCACATGTTTCTTCAACCATCACCATATTTCTCACTTTCTCTTATAGTCACGTTTCTGGAAAAAAGTAATTTATGCTCACTCAGTCCACTTCATATTGATTTCAACCCACTGAAATCTGGCTTCCACATCTCCTGATCCATTGAAACTGCTCTGGAAATGCTCTCCTTCGTAGGCTTCTAGTTGCCTTTGCAATATCTTCCCTATTTCTTTACCCCAATCTTATTGGGAATGTGCGTGCATCAGATGAAAGACAGAACTCACAAGGTCCCCTTTCAGTTGGCAATGAGTAAGGAGAGAAAGCAAGTCACTGGATGGGGTTTCCAGGAGTGTTCTTTATAGAAGGCCAACCCAGCTGGTGGGTGCACCTCTCCTGCCTACCCCTTCCTGCTCCTTCACCACCACCCCCTTCCTTCTACCTAGAACACAGATCTATCTTTCTTTCTTTTACTTTTTTTTTTCTGAGACAGGGTTTCCCTATGTAGTTCAGGTTGGCACTGAACTCACTATATACCCCAGGCTGGCCTCGAACTTGTGGTCTTGTGGTGATCCTCCTGCCTCAGGCTCCCAGTACTGGGATTACAGGTGTGCACCGTTTTGCCTAGCAAAACAGAGATGTTTCTTCATCAGCCATCTTTCAACCATGAGCAACCTTGAGGATGGAAACTAAGTGCTTTGAAAGGAGAGCAAACAGAAGCAGATTTTAAAATTTTTACTTACGAGAAAATAACCTCTCTTATAGCTAAATAAAACTTCTGGGTAACATGGCTTGGGCTGTTTTTGCTACTGTTTTGTTTATTGCCATGCTGGGGATGGAACTCATGGCCTAAGCAGCCTAGGCAAGAGCCTAGGCTCTACCACTGAGCTACACCCCCAGCCCATACGCTCCATTTTTATACTACTTTCTCCTTTGATTGTGTGACTTTCCTTCAGGAAACTCTTGCTTCATTCAATCCCAAATGGTAGAGTTTCTAAATCTAAGTCCTGGCTATTGTTGGGGGCTGAATTATGGCTGCCCCCCGCCTCCCCAGTTTCTCTGTTGAAACCCTAATCCTCCCTGTGACTGTATTTAGAGACAGGGCTGCTAAAGAAATCAGATGATGCCGTAAGGATTCAACAGGACCAGGGACTTCTAAGAAGAGGAAGAGACACCAGGGGAGCACTGCACAGAGAAGCGTCTGTGTGAGGACGTGGCAAGGAGGCAGCCATCAGCAAACCAAGGAAAGAGGCCTCAGAAGAAGGCGATCCAGCTAGTACCTTCATCCTGAACTTCCAGAACTATGAGAAAATAAATTTCTGTGGTATAAACCACTCAGTCTCTAGTATCTTATTACGGTAACCCTAACAAACTAATGTGGCTCGCTCTCATTTTTGCCCCGTATGTTTCCCAGTTGATCTGGACCAAATTCTTGAAGTACAAAACTGTATTATGTTGGTAACTGTAAAATCTGCACTTTTTTCTCATTTCTTTCTCAACACACAATCTCCTGGACATATAATAAACACTTTGCACTTAGCTATAATCACAATTGAACTCATTATTTTCCCCTCTCTAAATTTCCCTTTCCACAGCATTATCTATTATCTTCAATTTTCTCCTCCCACATCTCTCTGTCTCTATCCTTTTTGTATGGAATACTGGATGCAAGGCCTTTACAGGAGCCACATCCCAAGCCTTTGATTTATTTACTTAAACACGGAGTCTTGCTAAGTCACTGAGTTGTCCAAGCTGGGCTCAAACTTACGATCCTCCTGTCTCAGCCTCCTAGAGTTCTGGGATTCCAGGCATCGGCCACCACACTTGGCTAATTCCTCATCTCTTATATCTAACCAAGATGAAGTCCTGCTACTTCCCCTCATGTTTTCTTTTGCCCTATCTCATTTTCTCCATTCCCTTTTCCTCTGCTGTGTTCAGAGCCCCACTGTTTCTTCCTTCCATTCAACATTTCCTAACTGTTTCCCTGCCTTTAGCTGTTCTTCTAATCACTCTATTTTCTGTTCCCAGGGATTTTTCCAAAACACGTATCTGCCTTTCTCACTCTCCTCTGTGTCCTACAGTGGCCCCCCATTCTTTTCAGAGCCATCTAAACTCCTGGGCACAGTATCTGAAGTCCTGATGATCTGGCCCTGGCTACTGCTCCAACCATCTCCCTCACATCCGTGCTCTACGGGCCCTGCTCCAGTGGCACGCCTGAATACGTCACAATTTCTCTCTCTTCTGTCTGTGCAAATGCCCTTTACCTCACACTCTAACACCAATTCTTCCTTCAAAGCTGAGTTCAGCTGTCACCTCCTCTATGAAATCTGCACTGATTCCCCCGGATCTGCGTTAGGTTGTATTACAAACATTTATCACACAGTAGCATAACAGACTGGCATTCCCCAAGAATGTGAACTTCTGGAGGTTTTTGTTTCAGGGTCTTCGTTGCATGTAGTTATGTGCTAAGGATATAAAAATGGAATAAAATACAGTGGGACCCTTGCAATTCGGTTGCAGCCATAATCATGGAACGAATCCTGTGACCAGAGCCGTGGAAAGAATTGAGTTTGTGAACCAAGGTACCGCTGAATAGCTACATGATCAAAAGATCCCTAACTATCTTAGTTTTCTAAGGAAGTATTGTAGACATATGAGATGTACTTACACAAAACAGGCATTGTGTTTTGCTTACATAGGTCATCCTAATGCTTCCTGCTCTTGAGAATCTGCCACATATAAAATACCATTTTATGTAACAGTTACCAGACACACAGCTTATTTTCACCCTTTCAGTGGCAAGCTCTTTGATGTTAAGAACTATATCCTATAAACTAGTATTTCCTATGGAGCCTGGGGAAATATCTTGTATTTAATCACACCTTTAGTAAGTCTGCTGAATGAACAAAAGGAAAATAGGTGTCACTCATCTTTATATAGCATTCATTATAATACCATTTTGTATTTTATGAAATAGAATAAACTCACCTACAGTTTCAATAAAAATGATGTCATATCCCCCTCCTTCACATAACAGAATGGCTTCATTTGTGGTCCTTGTCACACCTCCTAAAGTCCCACTGGTAGGAGATGGCCTGATGTATGCGTTCATGTCTCTTGATAACTCAGTCATTCGGGTCTTATCGCCTAATAGGGATCCTAAAACACACAGTTACATTTTTTAATCATGGAACAGTTGTAAGGACCAATTATCCATCAGCCAGTTCCAAGGGGATATGCTTTATGGTACTTCCCTAAAAATCTCAACCTGTATTTCATATTATTGAGCATTCCCCTAACTCAGTCATGTTGGATTAATTTTTTAACATTCCAAGCCCCTTAAGACCTACAAGGGCTTCCCTGGTCTTCCCACTTACCAGAGATTCAAGCCTAGACCTTTCAATCTAGCATAGAAGGCCCTGAAAACCCAGCTCTACCTTACCTGTCCAATTTTAACTTCCACTAGTCCCAAACCAATTCTCCAATTCATCCAGAGTGGTTCCTTTACTGCTGTCTTAACACTGGTGTGCTTGCTTTCTTCCCTTCTCTACATTCTCATACTAGATGGATTGCTTCTGTTTTCTTGTTGCTAATTTTCCAAGTGTCAAGTCCATGGTCTGCATCCTGGCTCCACCATTCCTGGCTATTCGATTTGAAGAGGTCACTTTACCTTCCTTGAATCCCTCCTTTTCTCAGCCACATAACAAGAATACTGAGCCACTGTGAGATTTAAATATAATTATGTACTAGGAATAGAATGTGGACTTCACAGCCTGTTAATAAGAAAAGCACAGAATTTATCTGTCTTACAAAGATCAACTTAAGTCCTTACTTCTTCATATGATCTTTCTGGAAGTTTCTCATCTCATGCTCGTCCCTGTGGACTCCTACAGTACAGTAACTGCTATGGAATATGTGGGCAGAAGACAACTTTGGTATCCCTCCCCTTTCTGTTATTACTCTTCATTCCCCATTCTTTTATTTGTACAAATGACCTCTGCTCAGCCTTAAGTAAAGCTATGCAAATGCACCTTTAAGCCGCCCTTCCACCTAGCCTGCTGCTTCTAATACTTTACTAGTTAGCAATTTTGGAGCCTACACTGAATGCAAAGCAAGCCATGTGAATGGACGCAACACTATTCAAACAATATACTTTTGGATTTCATGTCTGTATGTCTCATTTATTTCACACAGTGATTGTCAACCAAGGGCAAATTTTCTTCTTCCTCCCAGGAAATCTGGCAATGTCTAAAGACATATTTACTTGTCACCAGTGAGGCTGGGATGCCACTGGCATCTACTGGATAGAGGCCAGGGATGCTGTTAAGTATCCTTCAATTTACAGGACAGCCACGCACAACAAAGAAATATCTCCTTCCAAATGTTACTAGTGTCAAGGTTTAGAAATCATGCTTTAAAATAAGTCTCTTTATCTATAGGACCCTATCTTCTAGATACTCACATGGAATGCTGAAAAAGCATTCAAGTAGGCATTCAATTTAATACCATGGAATGGAACTGGCTATAGCTGTCAGTTTATTGCAGTATTTTGGCAAACATCAACACCTGCAAATCCTAGAAGAATCAAAGCTCTGGTACTAATCGTACCTTTTCCCACTTTCCTTTAGCCATATAATTACATGAGAAGGTGTGGTGCTATTATAGCTTGAATATTTATTTTCACCCTGCCTAGGGGCTATTTTCCCCAAATAAAGCTGATGCTAAAGACTGGAAATTCCTTAAAGATATGGTCTTTTCTCTGAACTACAGTCCAGAATCTACTCACAAGTTCCACTTCTACAGCTCGCACCAAACTCGCACTTCAATTGCTTTTTTTATTTCACAAAACTTTTTACGAAAGTAATTTTCTGCATGAAATCATCTCTGTGGAAGTCCACAATCTGCCAAAGCTGTACTTTAAATTATTATCCTAGAGATGCTATCGCTTTGAACTACACATTAAGAAATTACTCTCCCATATAATTGTCTCTGCCAGGAAATTCAAAACTTAGTTGAGACCTTTAGGGAGGTTTCAAAAAAATGAATCCTCCTCAAACTTTAATTTAGTGCTGTTTGTCAAATGTGTGTAATGTTGTAATAAGGTAGAAATTTATATTTAGAGTGTCCTGTTTATTTCATGTATATTTTTTCTTTCAAAGTCTACGTATTTTTTAATCACTTCTGGCTTGAGAAAGATCAGGAACCATGCAGTAAGCAATTTTAATCATAGACTGCTTTATAACATCATCTGGCTATCAATTACTGCCCCTCAAGCTATTATTTTCTTTTTCTATTGCAAATATTCTAAAATATTATGAAGGGAGAGACGAAAAGGGCTTTTCCATCTACCTACATGAAAAATGAGGATCACATTTTAAAAATCCTTCATTAAAGCATTTACCTTTAACAAAGTTCTTAAACTGTAAATAAATTAAATTAGACAACGCCTTGGCATGGATTTATTCTTGAACCTTGTGAGTATAAATTTGATTTAGTTAACATACTATTATAGTGAATCAAAAACTTTTGAGTGCTATGAGCTAGATTTCTCAGTGAATGCTAATTTCTGTCCACTTCTTTATTGACCTAAGGCTCATAAAATATGTTTCCATCCCGCAGAATACCACAGTAAGCAAACCAAACACAGCACCCTGTATTTCCTCCATTCACAACACATGCTACATTGAAATGCTTATGTTTACTCCTCTGCTTCCTTCATAAGATGTAAGGCCTCATAAGGCCAAGAGCACCAACCTATTCATCATTTTATAACACAGTACCTTGTGTGTATAATGCCTCACCTATAGAAGGCACTCAAGACTTGATAAGTGAATGAATAACTATAATATGAGAAGCTTAAATCACAGAAGGGTAAGAGAAGAAAAACCTGAGTGTTCATATAGTGTGTTTTATGTTTTCTTTAAATGATCCTTAGGGAAACTAAGTCTATATTCATTTTATCTCTGATGAGCTGCAAATTAAGCTTGAGTGATTGCATGACCTCAAATCAGTAAGTAACTGCGGAACACTGTGCAGTGTACATTGCATTCTGCTAAGTGCTGTAGGGGGAATAGCAATATATTACATGGTCCCTCTAAGAGCTTTCTGTTTAAATAGACATATCATATAAACAGGTGACAAGTTGTAAACAGCAGCAAGTTTTTTAAAGCTAGAAGAAGAGATATTACAACATGAGGAAAATAATGAATAAGGAACAGTTTCTGAATGGCCCATACAATTTGCCTTTGATCATCTTCAACTTCCGGCTCCTGTTCTCCCAGGTCTCTACCCACTGAGCAACCCACAAGCACCCTCCTCTGCAAAGTCCACTGCTCTCCACCTACCACCCTCAGATTTCACCTCACTCTGGAGAACTCCCTTCTTTCAGGAAGACCAAACTCAACGAGCTAAACTCACCCAATTGTGCAAATTCCCACTAAGCTGTTACATGGAACACCCACAAGCTCTGCAATTAAAAAAGAATCAGCCATACTCACCACCACTAGTGCAAGAAGAAGGGTCCACAGCTAGCACAGATAATTTGTGCCCTCTCTCAGTAAGCATTTTTCCAAAATACTCTATAAATGTTGATTTTCCAGCACCAGGGGGCCCAGACAACCCTACAGTGAAAAGAGACCTTCTAATTTAATGGAATAAATGAACTCAGGTCTATGATCAGTTTTACTGAATAATACATGAAACTATTTTCTACTTCCCCTAATTTATTAAAACAACCATCAATATATTTTAACGTGTCCTAAAGCAGTAAATGAAAATCCATCACTTTCATTTCTGAATGATGGGGAGATAGAAAGGGAACAATTCTGAGATCATAATTACAAATTTCATTTTTAAAAATTAAAAAATGTGCTGTGGTTTTTTGCTGCAATGTAGATCTTTTTGAACACACTTCATTGCCAATGTTTTAATGTGCTGAATTTTTACATCTGACCAACTTTCATCATGATGGGTAATTATTCTACCTGCCCCAATTCTGTCTACTTTATCTGCCCACTGGAAAAACAACTCATTATTCTAAATATTCCCAGTGATTAAGTAATTTTCTATTTATAATCATTTTTTTCTTTATCTCACTCAGAACTCAAAGACTCATTTATATAGATATTTTTCAAAATCTTGAAAAAAATAATTTGTGGTAAGAAAGGCAGAAAAGTGCCCTACCTGGAGAGCCAAGCATGGCAGGTAAGAGAGCAAACCTTGGGGCCAGTCAGCAGGTTCTCGTTCCAGTTCTGCCTCTTACGAGCTCTATGATCTTGGCCAAATTACTTAACCTCTTTCTGTGCCTCAGCATTCTCCACACAAGTTCTTTTAAGAATTAGATGAATTACTGTTTGCAATATGTTTAGAACAGGGTGTGGCATAAAATGTATGGCACAAGAAACATAAGTGTAATTCAATAAATATATAAAATACAGGCACTTAACTATATTCAAAAGTAGATAAAGTATATCGCATGCTTTGTTCCTTACCACAATTCTCAGGGTAAGTTGCTATCTTAAAGACCTTTATAGGTGCTAAAGAAACATTTCTTGCTTCCATTTATAATGGTGATAAAGTGATTACAATAAAGACACGGGTTTGTCTGGCCTCATAAGAGCAGGTTGGAAAAACCAGAACATTACTATAAAGTTACATGTGAATTGCTAAGTCACCCCAGACATTTCAGGGACATTTTCTCTTCATGGATTCTCTAAAACCTAGTAAGTAGACATTTCATCATAAACTGGGGTTTTCTCTTTGGAAGTCTGCTATTTTCTCTGCCTACAGCACATAAAGATTACTAACACCCAATGTAATACTCAGTGAGGGTTAAAGAATAAGAAATGTAACAAATGTGGACTGGTACAAATATTGGTTGATGAGCTCGTTTTGAAATTACCTTTAAAACATTTATATTCATTACTCTCAAAAACAGGAGGTTTGAGTCCCTATGCTGGCGACAAGCTATGATATAAAAGTCTATTATAATGTCCATTTTTACAAGTATTTACTCATTTCCCATAAAATTTCTGTACTGCAACTACCATTTCAAGTTGTTTTCAGCAGAGGGGTTGGTTCAGATCACCAAGTTCACCATCATGTGATGCTCTCATTCCACCCCAAACTGCCTTGCTTAATTCTTGCTGGTGAAACATATTTAAATTACTTGCCTTTAGAAAGACTCAGGAAATGGCAAAGAAATTCAATGTCGAAATGGGTAAGGATAATTACAGTTTTGATATACTACTACAAAAAAAGGAATCTGACTTGACTGCTCAACAGAATGACTAGCAAAATAACGGAGTAAACTGGTTAATAGTTCTTGTGGTATGTCTATTCTTGGTTCAAATAGGCATGGCAAGTTTTTCAGTGTATCAAGATTAATATTTGCAAAAGTAATGGCATTCAAAACCCATTGACTCCAGGGGAAAAAAACACATTAGATTGCAAATAATTTAGGCTTATTCTAAAAGCAGATAGAATTTAGAAAAATATTTACTGAATTAAAAGAAAAAAAGACTGACCCACTCGAAACGCTAGTGGCTTTCCTTTATTTAGTTGCTCTTGTTCTCGGTGGTGGGCTAATACTTTCTGAAGAAGCACCTGGGCTAATTCCTTTTTCCTGTTGTGAGTTGATTCTACGAGAGTTATGGCCTCTGCTAAGCAGGCCCTTTGCCCTTGGATTAAACCAATATAAAGTTTATCCACAAATCTTTGTTCTTTATCAGAAAGCCCTTCTGTGTGGTCCTGAAAGGTTGCTTGTACACATAATTTTCTCCTTAAACCATTTGACAGCAGCATCCACTTTGTACAATGCAGTCCAAGAGAATTAAATGGCTGAGCACATAGGATTCCTGATCCGAGATGAGTACTTGGATGAAACAAGAAGTGGTAACAATGGAAGGATATTCTGAAAAGGCCTTTTAGGAAACGCTGGTGAGGATGCAGCAGCAGCATGGGAATATTCATTTTGTTTGCAACTGAGGAAAACCCTGGGTGCTTTTTAACTCAGTGTGACTTGTGACCTCCCTAGAAGAAAGAAAAACATTTCTTCAGTTCAATGGACAACTAAGATACTAAGGTAGTGAAATGGAAAGCGTAGTGTTTTCTCATATTCTAAAAGACACATAAGCAATTCTTGGCAGTACAAATGGATGAATTTTCTTACTAAATTTAAAAGAGAAGATTCTCTCCTTAGGCACAGTCAATATTAAGAGTAACCCAAATCATGAAACTATTGTTCTATTGTGAAGTGGAATTTACATTAAAATGTTCTTATAAACAAAAACCAAATATACAAAAACCTCATTAGGGTACATATTTTCTGTTGGGCTTTTTCTTACATTCATCTTAACAATTTCCTCTGCTCAATATACCCAATTTTAGAAAGGCTTTTTTGAAAACAAATCCCTCGAAAGCTGGCCTTCTCTTTATTCGCTACAAAAGAAATGTGATTAGTAGTGTGGTGGAGGCACAAGTTTAGATACATGCATATGCTTAATAGACTCACCCTGAATAATCTGGCTGAAGCACCCAATCAACAACAATAAGCCTTCATGTGCAGGGCACGTTGTATGGGGTGTATAGTAACCAGATCAGTTTGATCTCAGAGTACAGTCAGAACCGGAGAGTGTTTATGAAGAATGTGTGTACCCAGCCCCACCTGTCAGAATCTGTAGGGAAGCACATTACAGTTTGAACCACTATGGGATTAGATGAGGATCCTTTACCCTGTGCAACTTCCAATGGTGTTACATAATAAGCTGTCTTGCTGTACTGAGTCAGGAGAGGGCAGAGGTCACGAACCCTGCCTACTCAGTCTCGGCTACATAAGCTGTCAGGACCTTGGGCAAGTTGCTTAATCACTCTGTGCTTCAACATTCTCTTCAGTAAAGAGAATACAGGTAATAACAGGTAAGAGAGCAGGGTGAAGGTGAAAACAAAACAACTTAATTCATGCAAAAAGTCTGGGCAGTGCCTAGGCCAGAGTTAAGAGCTCAATTAACATTAGCTTTTATTGTTATTATACCAATTTACACAGCATTGGTTCTAATTAGGTCACAGACTTAGCTTCCACTGGCAAACTAAGATTTATATACAGATACATATAACCTATCCAGTTTGGGTTTATCATTATTTGTACATTTTGGTTTCCCTGTACCCTGTGGCACACTGAAATAAATTACTTTATTGTGTCAGGGTACTTCTCTAAATGGTATTTCAAGACCACATATAAAATTAAGCTTGGCTAATAAATGTTCTATTAGAGACAAAGAAGATACAATTTATTGTAATTGGTAAATCTATAACTGCTCTTCGATTTTCCAAAGACAACTTTTTTTGTATTTTGAGGGAGTCATTATAATTTCTATTTGTACAAAACTAGTCTTACTCTAAAAGGACAATTTATTTAAAATATGTAAATATTTTTCAAAAGAATTAACACATCCACTAGTGCCCTCATATAAACACACAAAAAGATACGTTAGCTTATTTATATTCTGGTCTAGCTTCATCCTCTATCACTATTTCCATATACCCACGTTTTCTGCCTCACTGAATTTTTTTCACTTGACTATGACAGGAAGAGTCTAAGTTCTTACTCTGATTTTGCACATTGAGATCCTTAGCCTGGGAAGCACGTTTCATCCTTGCTCACCTTGTGTCCTTTCAGACTCAGCCCTGACACCCACTCCTCTGGGCTGTGAACTGCCCCGGGAGCATTAGTTCCTATAACCTTGTCTGTTCCCACAGACATATGGTTCTTCCTTTAGACCTGGTATATTTTATTCTGTGAGCTCTTGAAATACAGTACTAGAATTATGTAATTTGAGACAGGATAATAGAGCATCCCATGTAAGAAGATGTAGTGGGCTGAATGGTGGCCTCCAGAAATGGATGACCATGTCTAATTCCTGGAACTGTGAATGTGGCCCTATTTGGAAAGAGTCTTTTCAGTGGCATTTAGTGGCTAATTCCATCAAGATAACTCCGGCAATTTGTTACAGCAGACCTAGGGAACACATTTACAAGGTACAATGGCTGGAACATTACACCATTGTAATCACCCTCAGTACAATTGCTTTTATTCTTATCTCCTATATCTCAGGATCTGGTAAAAAAGTGTGTGTTCAGAAAATAGTAGTTGAATAAAAACACAGGTTTCTGCCTATGCACTTCTAGACTTAATGGTGGTGGTGGTGATGGTACTGAGGAGAATTGAAGGTGGTATTCAAAGGTGGTATTGAAAGACACCTTCAAAGACAGATCACTTTTGGGGGTGATTACAATGATTACACATTGTGGCTGTCACCCATGTTTTTTCTAAATGGAGTGTTCTTCTCTCCCTTAGTCATCTCACAAATCTCTTCTCAGCCATCAAGAACTAATGCATGTGTCGCCTTGATAGCGTTCCCCAGCTTCCTCTCCTAGCCCCTCCAGTTCCCTATCTCTTACCATCATGTACTAACCACATTTCTCTCTTACACTGCTCAACACACTGCACTGTGGTCATTTTTATAGATGGCAGTCTCTCCCAAATTCTGACTGTCTTTGTATCTACAGAACAGTTTATTGCTCAGAGAAGAAATGAACATATGCTACAATTTCAAATGAGTCTACAATGCCATTACTCTGATTTCTGCAATTTTTGCAAACATGCATCTTTCTAGATTTTACAGTACATAATTAGTGACGTTTTTAAAGTCTGATTTCAATATATGGATGTTTTTCTTCATTAAAAATTTGCTCAGCAGCAGCCAGTCTGACTTGGGATATTTGTCTTGAAATTGATCCAGTGAATATTCTCAATTTCAATAACCACTCTGGCAAGAAAAAGCATAAAGAATTTCCAAATTCAATACATTAGGTCAGTGTCTGCAATGCAGCACAATTCATACAGGCAATTCAGTGCTCTTGCATGTGTTTTCATTTCTCAATGCTAATCACTTTTGATTTGAAGATAAGCTGTCAGATGCTATGAATCTGCTCACCATCTCCCACCACCCCTATAAAAGGCTTTACTGTCTCCATTTCAAACACTTTCAGGGAGTTTTTGTAGAATAGGATAACTTTTTAAATGAGCAACTTTTAAATAGTCATCATTACATAAGAGTAATACAGAACAAATACTCAATTCATGCAGGGATTCTCTAAAGTTCTCTGTGCATTTCACCTTTCATCATGTTTCCAATAAGACTCAGAGTTCCCAATTCTATTTTTAGGTTTCAATTTGCAAAGGAAGTCTCCTATTTTCCTATATTCCATCACCATTAACTGTTCTGATTCATTCTCACTGCTACCACCCTAATTCAAATCTGCACACCCTTAATGGGCTCTGAGACCAGCCGTGGTCCTGGGTAATCTCTCATATTCTCACGTTTTCTTCATGTGCAAAATGAAAACATTCAAACCTACAGAAAAGCCATAGTGAGTATGAATGAGTGTGTGCCTGGAACCAGACCTGGCAGCAAGTCTGGCAGCAAGGAGGTGCTAATTAAGTTTAAGGATCACTGCTGTTCTCTTGTTCTTCCCCCGTTTTCCTCTTGGACTTCACAGTAGGACTCATCCTGAAATATCAATGCGGTCTCCTTACTCGCCTCAAATTCCTCCATGATTGCTCATACCCTAGGACAGCTCTTAAAAGTGTTATCTCCAGACCAGCAGAACTGAGAACTGATAAAAATGGGAAATCTTCAGGCCCCACCCCAGACCTTCTCAAACAGAAATTGTGGGAGTAACTGGGGCTCAGTAAAGCTTTCCTAAGCCTTCTGACCTATGATCTAGTTTGAGAACCACCGTCCTAGGCACAAAGTCTAGACTTCTTTATCTGGCAATATAGTTTCTCCAAGACTACTTTCTTGCACTCACTTTTCCAAACCTCTTCTAGGAAGGTTTACTTATCTTCCAAATCTGGGGCTTACTTTCTCAACTCCAAGGTATTACTCACCTGTTGTACCCCTCTCCCTCACGACGCCTTTCCTATCCTACCTAGTTTGAATTCCACTGTTTTCTGAAAGTCTTTCCTGATAATCCTAGTCTTCAGGATTTCTTCCAGCCTCTTAAGTTCAATTATATCTGAATACTGATTTATGTGATAATCTTCACAGATCACAAAAAGATATACCTGTCCATGGAGGATGTTAACTCCATTGCTTGTCAATTGTTTCAAAATAAATTAAAATCACATAAAATACAGCTTTTTGGTCCATGTTGCAAAAAACCCCAGATCTTTGTAAGAGAGACTCAAACTCTCACAAGGAAAAAATCAGCTGAGCACCAAATTTCAAGCTCTCATCAGCTCTTTCCATTCCAAATACATAGGTTTTCTTTTTCACATCCACAAATTTCTGTCATTTACCTTTCTTATGGTTATGTAACTTTTCCTTTTTTTTTTTCTCTTCTACTAGAATGTGGCCCTCAAAAGAGCTATCTTTTAAAAAATCCTATCTCCCTGAAAGCCAAAAAGTAGTGTTTACTATATAAAAGAATATGCTGGACAGCCTGGGATGGTGGCACATGCCTGTAATCCCCAACACTCTTGGCAGATGGAGGCAGGAGGATTATAAATTCAATTCTAGCACGGTCAATTTAGCGAGACCCTGTTTCAAAGTCTTAAAAAACAGAGAGAGGTGGGGATGTGCAAAGGCCTTGGGTTAAATTCCCACTACTGAAAAAGAATTCTCTGTAGGCAACCCCAAAATGTTTCAGTTCTAGAAATTTTTGGTTTTCTATCAACTTGGAAAAGTTGGATTAGTCTGTTATTTCTGTTTTCCAGAAGTACATGTATTAGAATACTACTCTTAAGAATGGTAAAAGAAGAAAATTTGCTCTATCATTTTGGCTTAGGTTGTCTTTCAGTTTGCAATGAGAAATACACATTGGCAGACATGTCCTCTTCTGGAAGAGATCCAAGCCCTGCCTGGGCACTCTATCCGACAGGCCCGAGACACTGCTGGTGACGCCTAGGAGGGCTCCACTTTCGCCTCTGGATTACCCCCACCGCACCCCCGAAGGAGGGCTACTTTCACTCTGGAGAACTGCGCCTTGCTTCCACCGGACCCCAGGTTAACCGGCCGGTCGACAAGTTTGGCGGGGACAGTGGACGCACCTTGCTAAAGCTATCTTCCTCGTGGCGGGAAGGCAAGGTCACAAACCTGCCCAAGATGAAGAGAATTTTACAGAACATTTACAAGGCCTTTGTTTTACAAGGAAAAAAAAGGAACTCTCCCTTTGAATCCATCTACCGATGCCTGCCTGCCGACCCACATCGCGACCACGTCACATCCTCCAATTCGCCAATATTCTCCTTTGCCTCCCTTCCCCCATCCTGCAGGGGGCGCCCCCGACGCCCCGGCTGACCCCAAGCGCGCTAACCAGCCTCCACTCCGGGACACCGCGCGTACCCCCACCCCACACTCACCCTCCCGAGGCCCCGGAAGTACCGCCCGCCCCCTCGCCGACTTCGGGCCGCCCCTTCCGGCGGGCACTGGCGCGCAGGCGCACGGCCGTGGGCCGGCTGAGGGAGGAGGCCTGAGTAGAGGGTGAGGACCGGCGGCGGCGCGGGGCGGGGCCGAGGTAGTGGCGGCGACGTGGCCGCGGAGTTCCGGCGTGTGGCAGTGGCTGCGTGAGCGTGATGGAGTCCGGCTGCGGCGGGCTCCGGGGACTCTTCTGCGCAGGGGACAAGAGGAAGGCGGGGGCGTGCGTACGTCACTTTTAGGTAGCTTCCGCCTTGGCCCTTCGCGCTGCACCCCAGCAACCTGCGGCGGCCCGCGAAACCCCAAACCTCTTCTCCCGTTCTTGGAAGCAGAAAATATAGCGCGGAGAGGGGCCAGACACGGAACGTTTGACCACCTGGCGAATGAGCCTTCCACTCTGCAGTGCAGCCTGTTGGAATAAATGCTCAACTTTCTGCCGAATTACGGTTTTAAGTTTTGAAAACATGGCGTGGTTTTGAATGGTTGGGAGACAGTTTTTTCTTTTGAAATTCAGCCTTTCACATTGATTATTTCCTAACACGCACCAGACGCCAGGACCTACTCTTTCCCGCCGCAGCGATGCCCTGGGGAAGTCACCCTAGGGGGAAAGGCTCTTGCTTGAAATGGAGATGAAAAATGAACATAGATGCTTGCTACCTTACTGCGGGGCAGAATGGTAACTGATATTTTAAAAAATGTATTAGATGATGTAGTAAGTAGTAAACCCGTTGCATACTAATCTAGGATTTGTAGAGAAAGTATTCGTATCCCAAATGTTTGCTGGAATGTGGTAAAGATAGCATCCAGGAAAAATAGCTAAATTACAACAACCAGAAGTGGTCCTAAGTGGGGATCATAATTAGTGTCTAGAACCCAGACCTCAGTCCTCACGGTCTACATAATTGTATGCGTTTAGGAGGGTTTAGGCCTTCTTCACTGTTAATTTAAATTGGTTCATATTGAATGTAGAACAATTAAAAAATGATTTACTTCTCTGGCATTTTCATTATTATTACTGTTATTATTTGGACTGAAAGACTGCTACTTTTACCTGAAAGAGAAGTTGTCGACCAAAAAATAGTCAAAGAAAATTAAACACAAGACAAAATGAAGCAGAATTTCTAGTGGAAATGTAGAAACTCAGACTTCATTTTAAGTCTCCATTACTAAACACAACTGTAGTAAGACAACGACTTGAGACAGTTTACATCATTAAGTTTGGATTTGCTCATCTATATGATAATGCTTTTTTTGTTTTTTGATTAAAATTTTTCTTCTTTTTTTTTTTTTTCCTGGTACCTAGGATTGAACTCAGGACCTTGTGCTTGCAATTTAGGCATGCGGCACCACTGAGCTAAATCCCCGGCCCAAAGGTTAAAATTTTTGAAAGATCAGTTTGCATTATCTTAGGAAATGATTTTTTAATCTTTAACTGCTTTTTTTATTTTGGTTTTTGAGACAGGGTCTAGTCGTTAGTTTTGTACTCATTGTCCTCCCGCCACAGCCTCCAAAGTTCAGGGGTTAGAGTTTTGTGCTGGCTCTTTACCAGAGTCAGTGTTATTCTACAAACTCTAAAGACACCTTAGTGAATTGTTATCTTTTTAAATTATTCTGGTGTTCACTAAAGTGTGTTTCATGGAACATTATTCCTTTGCAAAATGTTAACAGATGCTTCATGAAAAAAATTGCTAGCATCATCAGTGCTCGTGATGACATGAACCTGTCCCTGAGAGGCTATGAGAAATACATCTAGTAGCCCTCGTTCCAAATGTTTAGTCTGAATATCATCATCAGGAAACATTCAGACATTCAAAACGTGATTTATTTAAACTTTCAACAATGTCAATATCATGAAATACAAAGAACAACAAAAAAGAGGACTGGTCTATTTAAAGCAACTATGACTTCTGGATAGGATTTAGAATTTTTAAAATTTGAACATGGGAGCATAATATATTATTGACTTAAATTTCTCAAGAATGATACTGATGATAGAATCCTTTTGTTTGGGGGCGGTGCATTCAGGTATTTAGGTCTGAAGTCATGATGCCTGCAAATATCTCAGATAATCCAGGACCCCCCCCCAAAAAAAAGTGAAGAGAGAGAAAATAGGGCACTATTTTAACAATTGGTAGTTCAGATGACTAGTAAATGAGTATTTTTTTTTAACTTCTGTAAGCCTGAAATTTTTCAAAATAAGTTGGGAGCAAATTGTATCTAGCAATTATAATTAACAAAACATCACGTTTACTTTTAAGAAAATCCAAATATATTTATATAGTTTTCTCATAATTTGATGTTAAGAAATGGTGTGCCATGTCTAAAAACTGAAGGAAGTCACTTGAGAAATGACCTCATTCATACAGACGTAATATCAAAGCCTATTACTCAGCCAAAGAAATCCTAATGTATGTTATCTAATGATCACTGCTCAGCACTGTATGTATTGCATTAGAAGTTTAATATTTTTAATGAATTCTTATAAGGGTAAATGCTGTGTAAACACTGTGTCTTTTAGGGAATAATGACAAAAAGAGGGCTACATTGGATACAGAGGCCAACTATACTAGATTCTAGAGATAACATCTGTCACCAGTACAAATAAAGTCCTTGCCCACACAGAGCTTACATTCTTTTGAAGTAATGATGAGAAGTGCTATGTAGAATAATAAGCTAGAGCTTAAGGGGTAGAGAAGGCCAGGTAAGAGTGGACATACACTATTTAATACACAGTGAACAAAGAAGGTCTCTTGAGAAGGTGACGTCAAGCAACCACCTAAAGAAAGGGAGGGAGCTGTGACTGTCCAGGAAAGGACATAGTGTAAGAAGAGGGGACAGCAAGTGCTGAGGTTCTGCGGTGAGAGCAGGTTACCATGTGTAAAGAACAGCAAGGAGACCAGATCGATGATACAGGCAAGAGAGAGTGTGCAGTAGGAGATGAAGAGTTAGATTAAGTTACATCTAAATTTTAATTAGGATAGGGAAATCTCTGAGTGTAATCCATCCCAGAACTAACACTTTCCATCTGGACCCATGAACGTGGAAAATGGGTTCTGTGCTTCCATAATACAGTGGTAGAACAGACAGGATGGCAGTTACAGCCATTTCTGGACTAAAAGGGAGAAAGTGGAAAAAAGTTAGCAGTCACAATTTAAAGTCCAACCTGGCAGTCTCCATTAAATGTCAAGGCTTAGGCATAATTCTCTGTGGTTCTTTGTTCTACTGTGGGCTCATGGCCCCACCCTCTGGGCAATAAGAAAGAGCATGGAGGCCTTTGAGGAGCCATTAGTCTGCCGACCACGGTCATTATTATTTTCATTAGATTTAGTATTCATTAATAATCATTTAATAATACTTCAAGTATTCACGTCGTTTTTCAGCACTTAAATTTCTGCATTAGTCTCTGTCAAGTGGTTCATTACCTCTTCTAACCTTTAAACAAATTCCTAATCAGTACTTTGTAAATCACTACATAGGAAATATAAATTTGCCATCTAATTTCTATTAGCTGGAAAAGAATACTGTCTTTTTATACAGATCAGATTTTCTTATAGGCACTTCATTTATTCTAACATTATTGATTTCTTCCAGACCTCAAAGTACCTGTAGTATGTTTAATTTTATGGGATAGGAAAAGTTTTACAGCTGCTAATAGGGTCATCATTCTTCACCTTTTAAAGACACCAGAAACCCATTTCTGCCTCCCAGCAGGTGGCAGCAAATCAGTACTAAGTAAGCTACAGTAAAATCATAATTTTCTTATCCTAGTGTTTTGGATGTTGCAGACTGGCTTAGCAAGAAGAGCAAAAAGAATATTGGTGCCAGATTGTGGGGATCTGTCATTTTATTGACTAGATAGGAAAGTATATTTAATTAGTGCAGCTGTGTTTTGTGTAGTTACATTAAGCTTTTTGATTGCTTAGCTCTCACAGAATCAAAAGAACATTTGTGTGGCATTTTGTTGGACTAACAATATTCACATGTTATGCTCACATTTTAACATTTGTAGATAAACACATATTCTCCATAACCATTAATTGGCTAATGTCCTTCAGTAGAACATTTCCAAATTTAATCATTATGTACTGCACTAATAGCAATTTTAAAAAGACAACCAGAAATATTTATGGAATATAGCTAACATATTCTTACAGAGAAATTTAATAGTTTTTCATGCATTTATCTGAAAAAAATGAAGTAAGTTGAGGTCAGCAAACTGTGGTCCATAGGCCAAATCCAGTGTATATAGCTTGCTTTTGAACAGCCTACAAAACTAGCAAAAGTGACAAAAAAAAAAAAAAGACATTACCAGTTATCTGGAAGAGAAGAACATTAAAGATTCTACAGACATTAAAAACAAAAAAAACCCTGGATCTTAACCAGAGGTGCTTTGCCATAAGAACATTTGATAGTATCTAGGGATGCTGCAGGCATCTAGTAGGTGAGACCATGGAAGCCACTAAGAATTCTTCAGTACACAGGACAGCCCGCCGCAGCAGTTTTCTGGCCTCAGATATCAATGCTAAGGTTGGAAAATCCTCACTGAAGCCATAAAAGAAGGATATTATAAACTTAGGTCCATAAAATGTATAATTCCTTAGAAAAAGTTAAGTCTTAGAAAAATAAAAACAAAACTGACTGAAGAAGATATAGAAATATGAATACTTGTATATCTGTTACAAAATTTGAGTTAATAATTTAAAAATACAAAGAAAGCTCTACACCCAGACATTTTCACTGGTGAAAACTATCAAACATTTAAGGAACACATAATGTGAATCTTATGCAAACTCTTTCAGAAAACAGGTGGGAATAATGACAGCATAGCCCTCATTTAAAAAAAAAAACTAATGTGTTAGAAAAAAATCACAAATATCAATTATGAATATAAATGCATCATTCCTTTGTGAAATACTGCAAATTGAATGCAAAAGGCAATGGCTAATTGGGGTTTATCTCAGTGTAATTTACCACATTTGTAAAAGAGAAATCATAGAATCAACCCAATAAATGCAAAAACAAACGACCATTTGAAACAGTTTATTGCTAATTTGTGATGAAAACAACCACAAAACTAGAAATAAAAGAGAACTGTGTTTTTTAATGACATCTATGAAAGTCCTAGGATTGAGAATAAAGTGAGGCTGCTCTCACCACTTCTTTCTGTTCAGCATGGTATCAGGTTCTCCCAAGTCTTTATTTAATTAAAAGATATAAAGATAGGAAGAGTAAAACTATTCACAGTGCCCTGTGTACTTCAAAAAACTAAAATACCTGTAGATCCACATAGAAAAATCTTCAGAATCTAGAATTCATAATTAAAATGAGTGGTCATAGAAATAACATTTTGGTCTACTACAAGCAGCAATTGGAAAATGAAATTTTAAAACAATAATTTGCAATAGAATAAATGTCTAAGAATATAGTTAATGAAAGATATACTCTATACACTGAAACTAAAACCTTGCTGAAATAAAAATATTTAAATGCAGAGACGGAATATTCATGCACACCGAATATGGAGTAATAAAGACCATATTCTGGGCTATAAAACAAGTCTGAATTAATTTATAAGAATTCAAACCATGTATAATATATTCTCTGACCACAAATAGTGTTAAAATAGAAGTCAGTAGTTGAGCGCACTGGAAAATCTCCAAATCTCAATAATCAAAGGCATAGATTTTCCAGATTGCTGGTCTCAGAAGTTCAGATTGACACTGAAGACATTTTTGTTCTCTTCTAAGACAGCTGATTCATATGGGAAATATGGAAATGATTAGTGGTACATTCTAACCAATTGCATTAATCTGGCACTGCCCTAAGATTGGAGCATGCTAGACACAACTGCAGACGGCTGTTGAGTATTCACTGAAATACTTATAGCATATTTAAAATTCATGAAATTGTTCCCATTTCTCGCTTTCTTTCCCTCACAGACCGAAAATACTGATGAAAAATCTGGGAACAAAACAGTGGATATAGTTGACAAAACAGAAAATCTGTTTCTGGACAGCTTTTGATTAATAAATACAGAGATAATTAACGTAGACCACATTTGCATAATGGTGTAACAAAAATTGTAACAAAAATATGTAAAAAAATTGCATAATGGTGAACAATACAAAGTATGGGGAAACTGCAGTTTGGAAACTGAATTAAGATTCTGATTTTGGCAAGATGGCTAATGATGAATGGTTTTATAGAGGAGAGGGAACTACCTCCCATGCTTTTCTCTGATTTTAAATATCTGTGATGGTTGATTGATTCTGTCAAGTTGAATAAGAGAAGCTCAACTAAATTGACTCAGCAATTCCACACCCTAAGGTGGGGAAGACCCACCCTAGAGCAGCTTGTCACCTGGATGATATAAAGGGGAAATGAAGAAGGTTCAATCTGCTTCTGTTTCTTCTGAGGAGCTCCAGTCTTAGCCTTCACCTTGGATGTCATCTGACTTCCAGCACAGATCCTTCAGCCTTCTGGTATGGACACCAGCCTTCCATCACAGGCCCATTGGCTTTCCAATAGAGACTTGCATGGGACTCTGCTGTTAGCTCCAGACCTTCAACTGGATTCATTGGTCTCCATTGTGCAGACAGACCTTCTGCATTCTTCCACATCCAACTCTGTGGGTGGCCACTGTAAGACAATCTTGTAAATTCTTTTATACTTATATATCTTGTAATATATGTTTCTCTAGTAAACACTGATACAATACCTTTCATCCTCATATTCTAATAAAATAATTAAAACTCAGTTTTAATTTTCCAACATCTCGATTTGTCCTAATGTATCTTTTCCAAAGGTTTATAAAAGTATAAGTTTCTCTTTAATAGATCTTTGAGAGAATTTGGGATTTATAAATCATTTTTAATATTAAAAGTATTTTTTGACCCTTAAAAAGATTTTAAGTTATTCCTCCCTGTGACTTTATTTTGACTGTCAATTATGGCTTAATTTAACAAGATCAAATTTCACTTTGTAAGTGGCGTTCAAAAACCTTCCTTTCCAGAAGTTTCTTTTCCCTTTTCTAAGCAGTTTTATTAAATTGTGTTCCCAATCTGTTTTGCAGTTTTAAAATTTTGTTATTTCTTATCCTTCTGAAAGTAATTATATCATTTGAGTATAATTTTATAAAACCCCAGGATATCTTTTCTGAATCTCTATTCTGGGTTTCCATAAAGGAAAAACCAAATATGATGGTTTAACAGTTTATCACAGCTGAGAGTAAACTGTTTAAGGGCCATTGTGCTCACTGTATCATGCTGTTAATTGTTCCTCTCAGCATTCCTGTGAAGTACATGCTATTGGAGTCCCGTTTTACATACGAGGAAACAAACTAGCATACCCAGCATAATATAATGACAGAACCTGGCTTTGAGCTCATGTTAACTCCAGTGTGTACATCCTTAATCCTTGATTTTTTTCTGCCTCCTGTTTTGCTGTGTATTTGCTAAAGCAAAAGAATTATTTGGGGTCCCCCACCATAATTTTGATCTCAACAATTTCAGCGTTATCTTTCCATAAGTTGTCATATACTACAATGGTACCCCGTTGGCAAACTTCCCAACGCGATGCACAATTTCACCACATGATGGTGCTAATGAAGTGAGAAGCCAGGTGCTGCTAGTATTTGACGTTAGGCACAGACCTATGTTTAAATGTCAAAAGAATGTGATTAGAAAGTGTTTAAAAATAATTTTAAAGGAGCAGTCAAAGAGTTATAAAGTATTTTAAAAACAAGGAATGAAAAGATCACATCTATAAAAGTTAAGTAATTGGTGGAAGTTAAAAATAAAAAGATAAAAGATGAGCCTTTGTATTCATAAAGAAGTATACGGGACAAATGTCAGAGACTTTCCACAGGAAGGAAATGAACTAAATGGCAGCAGGTGACTGAAAATAATGAACCCAGCTGTACAGTGATGTAGTTTCAGGGTCAAGTGGATAAGTGTTCAGTAAGATTCCATAGTAAGTGCAAGTGGGTTAACAAAAGCCAGCAACTAAAAGACTTTAGAGAATGCTTTAATAAACATCACTAACCTTTTCCTACCAGAATAAACATTTTTCCTGTAGGTACAGGAAAAGGGACAGCATACTGTAGTAAAAAAGCATTGCTTTTCAGAAATTATTAAAGCAAATTCTTACATACTCTGTTACTATCATGATGCTCAAGGTTTGACCCCTATACCAGCAGTACCAACCTAGCCTGAGGTTGTTACACATGCAAATTCTGTGCTCTCACTCTAGGTTTAGTGAATCAGAAGCACAGGGAATACAGCCTCCCAAATGTTTAGATGCACTCAAGAGCTTGAGATCTGCTGTGTTACTTAATTAAAAAAGAAAAATCCTGGGCCGGGGGTTTAGCTCAGTGGTGCTGCAGCCTGCCTCACAAACACAAGGTCCTGAGTTCAATCCCCAGTACCAAAAATGAAAAAAGAAAAATCCTCAAATATTAATAGTACAAAGGTATTAGAAACCACAGTACAATTTAAAGGAATATTAAATAAATAATGATATCCATGCAGTTAAACATATTCTGTTGAATCATTTTAATAATAGAAAATGCCTATAATAGTGGAGATGTCATAATATAAAATTGATCTCACTTATGTCAAACAATTGCAGAAAAGTACTAAAAGGACAAGTAGCAAAACTAGTTAACAGTGGTTGCCTTGGAGCCATGAAATTATACATATTTTTTCCTCCTACTTCTTTACATTATATACTGTTTCTCAGAAACTACTGTACTCATTAAAAAGTGCTGTTGGGAGATGGAGCCTGGTCAGAAGAGGTAAGATCAGCAATTATGAAATAAAAGCCATCACAGATGTAAGTAGTCCAAGAATTATGACTTTGGATGAAAAATAATACAAAAATTCCCTGAAATTAAAAAAAAACCAGACACCTAATACTTTAGGAATCAGAAATGGGATATAAACACTGATACAATTCTTAATTATAGAAAAAGTCCTTTATTTCCAGTAGTTTGGCAGGCTAAGTTATTCCAGCTCTTCCTGCTGGAAGGAAGAACAACTTAAAAAGGATGGGTAGTGCATGGAAAACATTCTTGAAAGTTGTAAAGATCTAACAATACAATTTCCAGGACAAATCTAAATAGAGAAGGGACCCCGGGAGTGTCAGTAGAATGCTTAAATTGCAGTTGTCCTGGGAGCATTTGCTAAATGAGGCAGAGGTTTGGCTTTTCTCATTGTAGAGTGGACAACAGAAATCAAAGCCCCGGATTTATCCAAGGTGAAGATCTAGAAGATCCTTCTCCCACAAAGCCAAGATACAAAAGGGATATTCCTTCAGGATAAGGATGAGCCAGGTGTTTCTGAATTGATAGTTTCTTTGCAACAAGCAAAGGCAGAGACATCTTCACTTTGGGGTTCTAAGAATCCTCAAAATTAATTTTCCAAGGGAAAACAAAAATCAGCTCACACTCAGAAGTAACCAAGCACCACAAGGAAACAAGTCACCATGAACAAGAACCAGCAGAAACAACTAATAATAGAAACAAATCTATGATGAATTTAGATCTTAGACTTTTTCTCTTAAAAATAATAAAATTACTATGCTTTTTTAAATGAAAAGTAAAATATCTTTAGTTAATAGGAAACTAAAATAAACTAGTTTATTTGTAGGAGAGAATGTAGAACTTGGAGAAAGGAAAAAATATAAAACTCAGTGGATAGAGTAAACAAAATATAAAAAGCAGTTGAAAAGACAATTTGTGTCCAAGATAGAAGAGAAGAAATTATTCGGAATGCAGAGTTGCAAAGAGGTGGAGAATATGAACAAGAGTTTATGTATCGGGGTGCTTAGAGTTATACATCTGAGAGTTCCAGTGGATGAAGGAAAGACTGATAGGGGACATAATGGGCTAAGAATTTTCCAGCAGTAGTGAGAGGCAACCAAAATAAATCTACACTGAATACATACTGCAACTGCAGAAAAATGAGTAAAGATTTAAAAAGAAACCTGAATCAGTGGCACCACACATGCCTCATAAGCACAAGGTCCTGAGTTCGATCCCTGGTACCAAAAATAAAAAGAGGCCTGGAGGGAGGAATTATTTTCATAAGAACCCGAGACTGGCAGGAAACAATAAAAGTCAGGTGGTAGTGTAATATCTTTAATATGTTAAAATAACTGCTGATCTAAAACTCTATATCCAATAAAATTGTTTCTCAAGAATGCAAGCAGACATTTTAAACCAAGAAATATGAAGAGAGTTTACCATTAGTGCAAAACCCCCCAAACAAATAAGATGTAATTTGAACTGAAAAAAAAGAAGTGATTTGAAAGGAATAGTCTGTAAGCAAAAGGAAGAAAAGGGCAAAGAAAAGGCTAAGTGTATAGATAATGTGAACAAACACCAAGTGGAGACAAAAATAATCATACACAAAAATTAACTTAAAATGGATAAAAGACAAGTGGAAGACCAGAAACTATAATGAAAATTAAGGGAGAAGCTCCTGGACATAGGCCTTGGCATTGTTTCTTTTGGAGATCACACCAAAAGCTCAGGCCAAAAAACAAAAATAATAAATAGAACTACATGAAACTTAAAAGCTTCTGCAGAGCAAAGGAAGCGGCCAACAAAATGAAACAGCAGCTTTCATACTGGGAATAAAACACTTGCAAGCCGTATACAACTGTTCCCAACATGGTCCAACTTACAATTTCTCAGCTTTTTAGTGCACTTTTTGCTTATGATAGGTTTACTGGTGTAACTCCATTGTAAATTGAGGAGCATCTGCATCTGATAATGAATACGCAAATTTTATGAAGAACTCATACAACTCAATAGGAGAAAAACAATCACTCATAAAATGGGCAAAAGATTTGAATAGATAATTCTCAAATACAAAAAAACCCCGAAAGCATAAAAATGGGCAAAATGGATATGAAAAGGTGCTCAACATCATTAATCTTCAGGGAAATGTAAATCAAAACCATTACAGATACCATTTCACACAAGTAGCAGTTGTTATCAGAAGTCAAAGATAACTGATGTTGGTAAGGATATGAAGAAAAGGGAACTCAACTCTGTTGATGGTAATGTAGATGGGTATAGCCATTGTAGCATACAGTATGGAGATTTCTAAAGAAATGACCCAGCAGCCGGGGATTTAACTCAGTGGTTCCGCTGCCTGCTTTGTAAGCGCAAGGTCCCGAGTTCAATACCCGGTACCAAAAACAAAAAAAAAAAGAAATGAAGAAATCACCCAGCAATCCCTTTTCCTGGCATATGACCAAATGAGGGGAAACCAGCACTTTAAAGATACCTGTATTCCCATGTTCATGCAGCATTATTCACAATAGCCAACATACAGAAACAACCTCGGTGTTTAAATGAATCAACAGATAAAGAAACTGTAGTATTTACACACACAAAGAATATTATTCAGTCACAAAAACAGAAGATGACCCACAAAATGGATGAGCCTGGCGTACATTATGCTAAGTAAGATAAGCCAGACACAGAAAGAAAAACATCACACGATATCACTTATATGTAGAATCTAAAGAATTAAAATATACAGAGATAAAGAACAAAATAGTAATTACCAAGGGCAGCAGAAGGGGTGGGGAGGAAATCGGGAGATGCACAAAAGTAGCATCATCAACATGATGACAGTAGTCAATAAAATTGTACTTGATTTTGAGATTCATGCTAATTGAATAGTGTTGAGCTGCTCTTGCCACTAAAACAAAACAAAAAAGTGTGTATGAAACAATGGGTATGA